CTCTACATTTTTCAAAAATCCTTCCCCATCACTGTGCAGGAATAACAGAAAACAAGGCCAAGCAAGGTACAGATGTTCTTTGACATCTGCTTTTTAGGTGTATGAAGGTTTCCAAAGACCCATTTTATAACACCGCTGCCTATTGCCCAATGAAGAGATGAGACAGTTACAGCTTTCAGTCCTCCATAGTAATAATGCCAAATGCATTCTTTTCTGGCAAAAATGCCAGAAATGTAACTTCCTACCCCAGCAAGCTAACCATCTGTTCTTTGTGGATCAGATGAAGACGAAGAGAAGCTCAGGAGAGGAAACCTCTGGTTATTAGAGGACATACAGACAGCTGACTTGGGCAGAAACTAGCTGCTAGGAGGTAGTTTAAGCACAGCAGGGATAATCACTGGGGAAACCAGAATGTTATTTTTCTGGGTACAAGGAAGTTATTTGGGCACAAGTGAGTTATCCACCTGTGAAGGTCCTGTTACTCTGATTAGCTTGTCTACTCCAGCTTTTTCCAACATGCTGTCCATCACCTCCATCAGCTGGATGACCTTGAACCTCCCAGAAGGTTTCCTGACAGACCAGAAAGAGACACATCGTTATTCTGTATAGCATAATTTTCCCAGGAAATTAAATTCAAACAGCTGTTTTTTCCCCAACAACTTCATGCAGGGTGGTACTTGCATGGATGGGAACAGCTGTAGTTTCTTTTCACGGTCTTCAAGCAGTGTTGTGTATTTACTGAAACGAACACAAATGTTAGAACTGTTATGAATGAACACAAATGTTAGAAATGTTAGATTACAAAGCAGTCCTTCCAGTGCTAGCTACAGGATCCCACTCTCTCCTTCAATCTCTTTGTCCCGTGTACAGGCTGATGAAGGTTGGAGAGGCTACAAGGTTGCTCTTCAGTGGGAGCATCCAGAGCCTAGTGTGAGAACTGGACCTCCTGCAGCGGTTCCCCCAGCTGGAGCTCCTTCTTCTTGCCACTAGTGACACAAACCTTGTAGGAACCTTCTCCCTCTAAGACCTCTCATGGTACTTGGCTAAGAAGTGACCAATGGGTTTAAAAGTTACTGGTGGGGTCAGAAGACCACTACATATCCACATCACACCCACCCAGAGACTGATCACAGGAGACCATCGACATAAGATGACAGTGTTCTGTTACATCACGTTGGCAAAGAAGCTGTGAGGATTTCACTCCTAATCTTAGTATTTTAATCCTTGAACAATGAGAAAGAATCTCCTTTAAATTTAGTAAGTTGTCCGGAGAGACCAAGGGGAGTCTCAGTAGCCTTTAGGCAAGGCTTGGTAAACTCAATTCAAAACTCACAGCCTGAAAAATTAAAAAAACCCCAAACAACAAAACAAAGCAAAAAAACCCCACCACAACCCCAGACTGGTCAGATTCAAGATGCTAGCAGGTCTATACAAGCATAAAGTGAGAGTAAGAACTACTGAGAGCCTGCCCAGCTTTGTGGCTGAAAGCAATTCTAAAAGGAAAACAGAGAAACTAATTAAAAAAAAAAGCAGCAATAAGCTTCCAAAAGTTGCCTGAAGGAATCAAACCAGACTTCAGCTTCCAGATTCATGTCCAACTACCGAACCCCCCCTGAGCAGCAGTACTAGCCTACAGCAAATTCTCTGTTGGCCACCTCAAAGCAGCAGGGACAAAGAAAAGGAGGGTCACCTTGCTCTGCAGGGTTATCTACAGTCTGGTCATCAGCATGGGATTTGCACAACCTCCCTTTTATACTCTCCCCCTTCCCAAGAGGGTCCTCAACCTCTCATCACTTTATCCCCCTGCTCCGAACAGTTGAGGACAAACCCTCGTAAAGCAGAAAGCACTCACTCATCGCAGTACTTCAAGGGCAAAACTCCCCTGTTCTTCATGATATGAAATTCCTTGGGAACCAGACTATCTGCTAGGGTTGCTCGCTAGGGATGGAAAAGAGGGAGAGAGCATAAAAGACATGAGCACACTCCCGGTTGCTTCCCAAAGAGGACACAGGTTTGGCAGCTGGGAGCGAGAAGCTCACATAGCAGCTTTTCATGCTGTTTTTCCCTTTCCTGCTCACACATTCAGAGCCCGACAGAAACCATCTACCTCCGAGAGCAGACTGAAACGTTTAACACTGAACTGCGGCAGGGGAGCTGGGGGGCTGCAGCCGCAAGGAGAGCCGATGAGTTTTAGGATCAGGGTAACACTGGGGGATGTGTAGGAGGACCTCCCTTCTCCCAGCTAGTGACACACACAGAAAAACACCTGAACGGCAGCACTCACAGGAGTACGTGGGACTGTATCACAGCTCCATCTCTGGTCCTGACGACTCTCAGCAAAAGAGCTTCTACCAGTTATTGCTTTCTTAGCTTCTTGGCCAGTCGCAGTGTCACACAGGTAAGAGACATCCCTGAAACGGAGGGGAAGAACTCATTCACCGATCGACCCCGCAGACAACCCACTGTTCCCTTACTTGCCAGCCTAAGCCACGCATGGGCTTGCTATGCTCAGCCCGAGACAGGCTTACGGCCAGGATTCCCTCCCCTGGGCCAAAAAAGACCAGTGAGATTGTGGTTTTTAGACAGATTGACCTCATATTGCCTATCCATTTTTCACATCTGCTGCCAACGCCCTATTGCATAAATATCCAACGTCCGATAAAGAGCAAAACATTTTTCACTTCCTAGCGCCATTAAGCATCGCTTATTTACAAAGAAGCGCAAAGCTATTCCCTGCTAAGTCCATTAAAGCCAGAAGAGCTTCTTTTCTTAATCGTGGATCACAGAGCATCCCTGCAAGCCTGGCATCCTTTGGAAGGATGGTTCCAAGAACTGATCAGTTATTTATTATTGCCTCGAATCTCTCCAGCCTGAACTTGGATGGGACAGCTGGTCCATTCATCCAGCCACGTTAGGCAGCACAGCTACCTACCATAAGAAAAGACCAAGGGAGAGATCTAGCTCTGCATTCCCAGCTCTAACGTCTTGCTATCGCCCTGGGCTCCTTATCCCTTCTTTGCTTACCTTCCAGCGCCCGTCAAACTGACAGGGTGGTCTGTCAGGTGTCTGAACTTGCTCCGACGATTAGGATAATGCCAAAGCCGATCTGGGGTTTGCAGGCAGCCCTGCAGACAAGACACACGTGGTTGTCACTTCTTAGTGAGAAATGTGCCAAGGAGTGGGAGAGGTCAGGGTGGCTGTCTAAACAAGCTTCGTGTCATTATTTCTGTCTTGGGGCTAAAGAAACTGGTGTGGACAAAACAGCCTTGGCAAGGGCTTCACAGCAGCACCAGGGTGCAAGCACGTTTTGCAGGGACTGGAAGGCAGCACTTTGGATCTGCATCAAATGGCGCTGTCAGAAAAGTGATACAATAGAAGATAAATTTATCTTACGAGGTTGGCAAACTTTCCTTTTGCTCAAGGAATGAACACGCACCCCCAATGATGAGACGATCCTGGACAGAAAAAGGCAGGAGACGGAAACATTCTCACCCTGAAGCCCACCGGGGTTTTGGTGGTTTGCAGGAACCATACATGCTCTGGGCTATAGAGAGAGCTGCTGGCGCAGGTCAGGCTTCGGAAAACCTCTTCTGGAACAAAACTATGCTCCAGGGAGGAAGACACAGGCCTGATGTGGTCAACCACCCTTGAGGTACTCCTCAGCTTGGGGATCTCTGGAAAACAGCATGGCAGAACCATTTCAACAGCATTGATTCTACTGGTGAAAGAGAAAGCAAAACTGGTGATAAACACAGGAGCTGAGGAGAACATCTTACCCCAAAACAGGATCAACTCTATCTAATCCCTTACCCCAAAGCAGGATCAGCTACCTAGAAAACAGGCAGCTAATCCCGTTTTTAGCAGTTAGGTCTGAAGCCTAGAACAACAGTTGCCTTCTAACCGTGGGAGATAAAGCACTGGTCGCACGACTGCACCAAGCTATCAGGTACACAAACGCCAAGGGATGCTGTAAGCAGCTAAAGCTTGCATGGTTCTGTAAAGCCATCTCCCTTCTTGTGGATTGCTAGCAGTCAGCTTTCTGCAAAGATATTAACACCCTAAAATACCTGCACTTGCCTAAATAAAGGCAAAACTTAATGGAGAGAAGCATCCCGCTGCTAGAGGGAAGCTGGAAGGACGGAGAGTCAGACGTACAACCCGCAGCCTCCAGCCCAGCCCTACCTGACCGCTCCTCGCCGACCCAGCCTGCCCGCGAGGCCTCCCTCGGTTCCCTTCCATTGGCCTTTCGTCCAGGAACCGGCACTCCAGTTGTGGGCATGGTGAATCTTTATTTTATTTTAATGCTCAGCCAAGGAAATTTGCAGTAACGATCGATCTAGAAACAGAATTAAACCCACATTTGTACTTCACAGGGTTAACAGGGGTTTTTTGTTGTTATTTATTGTGAAAGCCCCCCTTACACCTGACACTAGGTGCATCGGTTAGGAAGAAGCCCCCGATGCTTTGCTACATCCTCCGTAGGGGTGCTTGGTTTTCCCTCTACAAACTGCACCAAGAACAACTGCTTCTTTTATACGCTTACCTGGGCCAGAGATTTAATTCTATTTGAATTTCTCTATTCTTACCTCTTTTTCTTCTTAACATCTTATTAATGAAAAAGAAAATCCTATTCCCGTTAGTTTTGTAATCTCCACGGGTTCTCTTCTGAAGCCCTTTCCCCCCCCACAAGCCTTGCCAATATATACTGTTCTTTATAAATGCTCTTGGTATTAAAACTTTTTGACCTCCTCACCAGCTGTATCCTTGTGTACTGTGGTTTCTAATTAGGTTAACTACATTTCTTTGCCTTCAGATACATGCTTGTGGCTGTAGGTGTAATCTAGGAGTCATCTCGCCAGGTAGTTTCTTGCCTTGCAGCAGAAATGGTTTCTTGGAAAGAAAATACCAAAATTTGCTAAAAACTTCTGACAGAAGAAAACTTTTTTTTGTTCTCCTTTAACAGTTCTGTTTGGCAGTACATGATATTCCCACCAGCAAGGATGGGAAGATTAATGACACCGTTTTACAGCAGCTACAGCGTAAGGACACAGACGAGACTTGACTTAGAGCATGTGGTACACAGCTGGAAAACATCACATTAAGTTCTCAGCACGCAAACCCTTTTCAGGCCCAAAATAAAGGCAGAAATCACCAACACGATATACATTTGGCAGTTGCTCCAATTTAATATGCATTAAATCAGGAGAGGTTAGAAACTCTGGTCTGTTCCCGGAGCTATCAACTCCTTCCCTGCGCTTCCAAGGCTGCTCCTTCCTCTAGCAGAGATGCGACGGCCGATACGCAGCTTATGAAACCCCAGCGGTCCTTCTCAGCTGGTATTTAGCTCAGACGTTTCCTGCTGCTTCTTAGGACCCAAGGAAGGGCTTGTGTCGAAGTTTCCTCCTACGCGCCCAGCCGAGGCGGTGCCCTCCCCACCCTCCAGCGGCCTTGCTGGTACCTCCAGGCCTGGGTCTGCCGCAGCCTGGCTGCCTCCACCCCTCTCCCCTCCGGCCCTGGGCACACTTGCAGCCCCAGCCAGGAGGCGGCTGTGCCGGGGACTCCCCGGGGCTCAGGCCACCCCGCGCCCCCCGGCTTGCTGACCCCCAGGGCAGGCCAGCTCCCCTCTCCCCGAGGGCCCCCATACCTGCCAAGCCTTACCTGCTGGGCAGCTCCTCCCTGGTTCCATCCCCACGGAAACAGAGGGCTCTCCCCACCTTCTAGAAGATGCCCTCCCTCCCTCCCCAGCCCCACAAGGCTCTGACCCACATCTTCTCCCCACAGCAGCCGCCTTCCCAGGAGAGCAACCCCACGTACCTTACCCCCAGCCCCACTCCCCTTGGCCATCCTGCACGCCACCCCCCAAATCAGGAGCCTCAGAGAAGAAAGACACAGGCCAAGGCAACTTTTTTTCCTCCCCTAATAGCAAAATATATTTCAACTGCTCTAATACAGTAAATTATAAACAGCTCTTCTGCATGACAGAACACGGTACAGGTTGCATACATGGAACTGCTGGTGCCAGGGCCTGGGCACGCAGCGGCCGCCGGGCCACCCTCTGCTTGGGCGCCTCTCCCCTGCCACCGCCGTAAAGGGGCAGCGATGGCTTCTCGGCCCCGGCTGCCGGCACGGTGAGAAGAGAGGAGGCTGAATTCAGCTGGCTCGGAGGTGCTGCGGGGAGCCGGTTCATAACCCTGGTGCCGCAGAGCGCGTGGGCTTGCTCACGGCTCACGCTGACTGCCGTCCTTCCAGCCCGTCTACATTCAGAAGGTGGGGGAGCTCCAACAGTTCAGTTTTCCTTTAGCGGGTGGACTGAGTCACATCAACCATGCCGTTTCGTATTTAAAAAAAAAACCAACACATCAGGATTTCCCCCGCTGCCACCATAGCACGTGGCGCATGCCTTTCGCAGACGGCTGTCACCGGATCACATACAGTTAGCGGCTCAGATGCAGGACTGCTTCGCCTCTGAAGGCTGGAAGCTAAATACCCCAACAGAAAGGACGTGCTAGGCATGAAGGCTCTGCACAGGTTCAGTCTTCCTGAGAACAAACTGTTATCTGCATGAAAACCAGGACACGTCTCCCCATATTAATACTGATTTTTGTGATGTTACTGAGCAAGGAGCTGCAGCTGTACTGGCTGCCACTCAAAAGCCGGAGGCTTCCCACCTCAAAACTGAGGGAGTTACCATGGAAGCGAGCTGCACGATCCTTGTGTTGGAAAGAACCACAGAAAACAGTATACACTATTATTAAGAACTTGTAGAGGGGCAGGTTGCGAACCTTGGCATTCTCATTATTGACCAGAACAGCATATTGCTAGCTCTGGCACTCGCAGCCTAAGAAGAATCAAACAAACATGGTATAATTGACTCAAATTAAACAAGCAATGTGCAAAAGACTTCGTATTTCCCCTCCAGCACTCTTTAGAAAAATGAGGATAAGCCCACATTCAAAAGCAATCAAAAAAGACCCATGAAATGGAAAGTAATCCCAACTGTTAATGCCCTGACAAGGCTAAAAACCTCAACCTGTCAAAAACTACGATTAGTTCCAACAGCTGAGCATCCCTTTCTGGTTGCCTTTTGCTTGCCAGATGCTCAAGCCCTCAGGCTTCAAACACCGAGGATGCTGACACAGTAAAAGCTGATATTCTTTATTAGGAATATGACAGTGCCAGCTGCGAGGGCAACGCCAAAACTTGGCACAAAGTGCCATGATTTCACCTCCTTTTGAGAACACTGGGACGAGCAGCAAGACCTGACACAGGCATCAAGATGACAAATCAAGCCCCTAACCCATCACACCCTATTTGAGTGCAGTTACATCCGTACCCAAGTGTTTTGAGCACTGCAAGTAAGAAGTACTGGACTGAATTTCATCCTGTACTAAGGAGGTGACAAAGCTGTTTGGCCAAAGGGTGGGGTTTTTTCTTTCTTTTTTCAAGAAGGAAGCTTAGTTGCTCCAGCACTTCTGTCCCTTCCTCCCACAAAGGGTACGGGGAAAGATTTAGGATTATCCTCATTCAGTTTGATTAAAGTAATCCATTTAATTCTCAGGATTTTATATACTAATACTGCCAAGTTTGAGTATATACATGAACCCCTTCCTCCGAAATGAACCCAACTGTTTCAACAAACAAGTTCCAGTAGGAGGTATTTTCAGAGGAGAGCCACATACGCAAACACTGTATTTGGCAAGTTTGACCTGACACGATGTCCTTTCTGAAGAGCGGGATTCCTTCTTATAGAAAACTGAAAACCTGGAAGAGTTTAAGCATCGCCTAGCTTTCATGAAATTACTTTTGACTCAGGTTAGTAAAAACAGAAGCCCAAAAGACAGTCTTAAGTGGACTGAGAAACAAGTCCATCAACAGTCCCAATACTGCTGGGTATCAAATACCTAGGCTGTAGGTCAGTAAGGAAAAGCTGTTACCAAAAAGTGCCAATAAAGAACATTTGAGTAATTCAGAAATCCCTGTGACCAAAGCTAAGGTACCTCCATCAGGTTACCCTCCCTCTCCAATAACGGGAGCTGCAGTTCCAGTAAAACTGGAGAGGTAAGTACCCAGATAGTATGTAAGTTCCCTTTTGTGATTAGCATCTGACAGAACAAGGAAACTAAAGGGACTCTGCCTAATTCATAGATGTCGAAACACCAAATTCACATAACGCTTCTCCCTTTAGCAGTGCGTACGGGAGGATGTCCTACCTCTTCAGAAAGAAGAGGGCCATACCTAGGAAACTGATCTTCACCTGAAGCCCCCACTGACATCAGAGCAGACACGGGCAGATGAAAAAGCAGCTCTGGCTCCAGCCACTGCGTCAACCCTCATTTCCCACCGACGGTGTCAGAAGCTGCTACAATACATGTTGGCAAGAGGCACCGAGACGTGCTGGCATGTTGAACCGGGTGTAGCCATTTCAGATGAGAATGCGCTATGTAGCTGTAAAGTTGATGGCATTTGCTTACGGTTGGGTTGTAGTATTTCAAATCTTTTGCACTAAAGAAAGCCTTAACAACTTGCATAACTTAAAGCACCTGCCAAATTAAAGCAAAAGCTCTTTCACAAGTTAATTGTGTTAAAAGAATTGATTATCTGGAGCAAGAGAAAGGAAGAGCTACAAGAAACAAACTATTCCTGAAGTCACAAGGGCCTTCAGAGAACAAAAATGCTGTAAGTCAGTTGGGAACTTAATGATTACAGAGAAAACATAAATTTTCAGTGTAAAAAGTCATATAAAGACTGCACACACTGTGCTCTGCTTCTGAACCTGATTCTCCAACGCAGCCACAGGTAAACTGACAGTCCCCTCTCCCTCTGCCCATTGTACAATACGAGGCAGCCAACACACATAGAATGCAGTTCAAAGCCATCCAGGAATACTTTGGCTATTTTCAGAGCAAGGAGGCAAACGTCCTGTTGCTCTGCCACTTGTCTGTGTCACAGCAGCAGACAGGATCACAGAAAACAGAAGTTTTGTAGACATCCCATTACCAAAAGGGAGAGAAAAAAAAAACCTGCAAAGGGACAGCTAAGGAAGATGGACGGACGCCAACAATGAGCTACTAGCAAATTTGACTAGACTATTGTCCAGAAGAGCAGCAGCTTGGGGGGACCCCTGGATGAGTAGGATTCCAGTAGACTCCACCTTCAGCTCAATGTTTTGCTGGCATGGAAATGGCTCAAAGTAGGACAGCATGTAGTAGATGCTGCCTGTGAAGCCTGTGGCAATCCAGGTCAACTGGTTTGCCTCAGTAATGTTTAAAAAAATACAGT